TCATAAACAGAAGTTCACAAAAGTTGATATAAAACTATTCGTCGATTTAAACTCGAAATCGAAAGCCTAACCCCGTCAGTGTGAGACTTTAACCCAAACTAAACTTCCTACCGTCATGTACCGTTCCCCTCCCGGTACCACCGTAAAGGATTTCGTTGGGATTATAACACTGTGTGACTGATAAGGTTATAGATCTATTCTCTTCTTCTTGTAAGTATATTACAGGGATGTTGCGAATGTGGAATTTTAGATATCCGCGGATGCGAAATCGGATGCGGATGTTTAAATGCTAACATCCGCGGATGCGGATGCGAATGCGGATGTCAAGTATTTTTATACCCGAGCGCACTTGTACGCAAGGGTATTATAACTTTGTTCACATAACGGCTGTTTGTAACAGGCAAAACGAATCGAGATAGATATAGACAAATGTATACATAAATGATCAGAATGAAAAGAGTAACCGTATGTGCACACGATAACTCGAGTACAAAATGAGATATCTTAACGAAACTTGGTATGTGTACTTATTTTGAGCGTAGGACGGATGGTGTTGAAAATGGGCGAAATCTTACGATAACCACCTACCTCCCATATAGGGTTGCCAGATTTTTTATACGCGAAATCAGTACATTAGAATTTTTCATGCTAAAAAAATCAGTAATAACTACTCGCTCGCTGCGAAAAACTTTAAAAACTTGAAACTTGACAAAATTGTAAATTCTTTTCGATTGACGCTGCACCAGTCGAGAGGACTTTCAGTTATATTTATTTATTTTTTATTGCGGTGCAATAATTCTTTTTTTGGGAATTGCATCGGTCTGCAAATGTCGTATGTATCCTCCTGACTTTCATCTTCACAATCTAGTGTCATGGCAAGATCTTTGTTTAAACACCGTTGTTTTCCAAAGAATTCTTCATTCTCATTCTTTTGGTTGTTTCTGAATGTGGAGAACTAGTAACGTCATCAGCGTTTTTCGATTTTAGTTCTTGTAATTCATTTTTGATCCTTTCTTCTGTGACTGGCCAGATATGCGTTTTATCATTGCACTTGTATAATACTCCAGGGACCGAAAATAACAGTTATTTTTTTACCAGTTAAACTTGGCCTAATATTTTTGATTCCGAAAGTTTTTCAGCTTATCAAAATTAAACAAATTTAATATCATGTGAAAGAGGATTGAAATAGCTTTTAAACAGAAATAACGAACGAAGGTTACCACCTCTATTTACATATTATTTACTACTAAAGAAATTCATATACCTGACCCAAGGTTTGTTCTATCGTAATTAATTAACATTTTTTATTGAAATATTTTTCAATAGGTGACTGCTTGTTTAGACATTTCGGTTTTAAAGCTATTTGAGTCCCCTTTCATTTGATACCAAACTTGTTTAAATTTGGATGAGCGGTTTGTTTATTGTCCGGAAAGGACTTTTAGTTGGGAATAAAAAATATTTGGCCGAGTTTAAGTCGTAAAGAAAATAACTGCTACTTTCGGTCCCTTCAATATTCGCATTCGCAAAAGATCCGCATTGATTTTTGCGAATGCGAAAGCGAATGCGAATGTTAAAATTAATACGGAAGCTCCGCAGTTGCGAATGCGAATGCGAATATTCGCAACAACCATGGAATATTATACAGATTCAAGGACTTACCTTCTAACTGGATCGTTGTTGTCGCCAGCGAATTAAGTATAAAAAATCCTTCGAATTAAAACAAATAAAAATTTTACTACTAGGGCCACTTTTTCAGTCCACGGTTGTGGTTTGGTTTAAATTCTCGACCTGGTTTAAACAAAAATTAGGCAATCAAATGTCAGCCGTTTGTTCAATATAAATGCAGCTTACGTGATCTTCGTTCAAATTGACACTGAAAAACTGGTCTTTAACTGGTATTTAAAAATGTTCTTAAGAACTCAACCAGTCACCTTCCTTAATACGTCGGTGGCTAGTTGAGCTCAAACACTATCATTAGTGCGATTCATGAAACGTCGCAAAGTGACATTTTTGGCAAAATGGCAACGTTGCGAACAAAATTGTATGAATGACCTATCGAAACTTCGGATTGTAAATGTCTAAATTTCCAAAATGCCGCGCATAAATGAAACAGAAAAGCTTTTCCATGATGTCATATCATGAGATGTCATGTCATATCATGCGATTTCATATCATGTGGTGTCATATCATGTGATTTCATATCATCTGATGCCATATCATATCATGTGATTGAATGTGATGTGACAACTTTGACTTAAAGTGTTTAAATTCACCTTGATCGTCATTTTTGCCTTTACCTTTACACATCTTTGTTTTTTTAACTTTGTTCACATAACGATTGTTTGTAACAGTCAAAACGAATCGAGATAAATATAGACAAATGTATACATAAATGATCAGAATGAAAAGAGAAATCGATTAAGCG